TTTTTTTTTTTTTTTTTTTTTGGTTTTTTCGAGACAGGGTTTCTCTGTGTAGCCCTGGCTGTCCTGGAACTCACTCTGTAGACCAGGCTGGCCTCGAACCCAGAAATCTGCCTGCCTCTGCCTCCCAAGTGCTAGGATTAAAGGCATGAAACAGAGGTAACACTGAGGGACTGAAAGAGGAGGCATGTTGGCAAGTATGGCCAACCTGGGTATCAGCACAGGGAGGTAGCTACAAACTAGCAGCATTCTCTGTGGTCTTAACTAGAAATGTATACAGACTTCACCCTGTGGGTGGCAGGGTTTTACTCTGATTCCTCATCAGTGTGTTCTGTCATCAGAATGTATATTTCTGCTATAATAAGCAGTGCTTCACAATATGAAAACAATACCTTGACACAAAATGCAAGGTGTAAAATTAAATCAAGTATCTCACTATACTCCTTAACGAATAGGAATGTCTGGGTGATCATTGACTTAGATATTTTCTCAGTAGAGAAGAGTATACAATGTATTTTACAATTGAATTTAGGGAAGGATTGGTAACTATACACAATAAAAATTAGTGATTGTTTGAATAAAAGATCATGTGTACATATAGGTTAATGAAGAAGCCTTCCAAGTTTGTGCTAATCTCTTATTATGTTGTGAGAAGAGAAGGTCATTACCCGAGATGGATTGCTGTGACATGTTGCTGTAGGCCCTGGAGTAGCATGGAGAGCCCTGGATGTTGTTGCTGAAGACAACTGTGGTGCCACAAGACTGCTGGATGGTGTTAATAGACTTGCATGTGAAGCCAGGAGACTGCTGGATGCTGTTGGTGGAGTTGCATGTGAAGTCAGGAGACTGCAGGATGCTATTGCTGAAGACACCTGAGGTGCTTGGGCTTCCCTGGATGCGTTTACTTTAGGAAGGGGAAGGGCCTTCCCAGTAGCAGATGCTGTTCCTTGTGTCAATTGAATGGCATACTCACTTCTAGACACTGTTGGTGAAGGAGCATGAAGAGCCTTGACACAAATGGATCCTGTTCCAGGATGAATTTGAGTAGTCTGGGCTCTGCTTGTGGCTACTGATGTAAGTACCTGAAGAGCTGTAAGACTGCTGGGTGTTGTTGATGGAGGTACCTGGGAAGCCTGGAAATAATTAGTTACTATTAGTAAAGGTACTTGAGGGGCCTGGATGTTCTTGGATGCTTTTACTGTAGCAGAGTTAGAAGCCTGAATGCTACGAGGGACTCCAACATTACTGGGTGCTGTTGCTGATAGTGTATGAGGAAACTGGGCAGCACTGAACAGTGTAGAAGACACATTAGAGTTCAGATGAATGCTGGAGTCTGAGGCTGGAAACCCTGAAAAATTCTGGGAAGGTGATGTTGGAGAGCCTGGGGACATCTTTAAATCCAAGTGTGCTTCTAGAGGATTCTGAGAAGACTGAAGGCTGTTAGAAGCAATTGCTGAAAATCTTTCAAAAGTCAGAATTTCACTTACAGATGGGAAGTTGCTGGTTGTTGAAAATTCTACATGTTGGTGCTTTTCCTGGGGACCCTCTGTCTTTATGATACTATGCTTTTTGTTGATTGTGTTTTTCTGTTTCTAAAGGAAAATAGGGTGAGATATTTTTTAATCCTGCTTAATGGTTTTTAAGAATCATACCAAGTATATCTTTTCATTTTCCCTTCTAAAAAGAGTACCTTTTTCCTGTCAATTTTCTCCTGGGGCTGAAGGAAGTATTTTAGCCCACACTTAGGAATTTCTAACACTTAGTCTTCTCCCTTCAAAATCAATATTGCAACTTCTCTTAAAAGCCAGGTATTGAATTGTCATGAGTCTGGAATGGAATGCTTGCTCAAAGTATCTTACAAAACTCACCAGATCTTATTCAATCTGGTTCAACTTTGTGTTATTTTGTGGGAAATTAGGTTTGCAGTAAAATTAGTTCATATTTCTGGACTTTTCTTCATTTACAACTTCTAATCTATTAAATATTAAATCCATGTTATATATGTTCTTTACAGCACACAGGGAGCCCAGTTCCCACCCTTTCAGATGATGTGGATAAAATTGTGTGACAAGTATATTAAAATAATGGCCCACATAGATGAATTCTGGTATATAGGGATATAGCTTGATTGACAGAGTACCAGAGTATGCCAGATGCCAATTTGTGTAGGGATCAACCTTGCTTATACACTGAAGGCCTAAAAGTCAGCCATAATCCTAAGTCAGACATACATGCCTAGTAACACAAAGTCTTGGTCTCTGTGGGAAAACACTGACCCTAGAACAGATAGCTATAGATCTTGTAAATAGGCAGCCTTGATGGAAAACTACCAGCTTGGATAAGAACAAGTAGTCATAGACCTTATGGATAGGTAGCCTTGGTGGAAAGTACCAGCTTAGATAAGTACAAATGAATCATAGACAGAGTCATAGTGACCTGGTCTCTGCTTCTTCACCCTGCCAAAACTCAGTTCTGGAAAATATCTGTACTCCCCCTGAGAGTACCTACACTCCTGTGTCATCCCCTTCCCCACATCCTGCCTCTATGTGTACAAAACCCTATGTGAAAAAAATTAAAGTATTGGTTTGATCAGACTATAGACAAGTCGTGTTTCTTTGCATTTCTTTGTTCCCCCATTCTCTCTTTCAGGTGGTCCCCCAGACCCTGCTCACCGCTCTGCTGGATGGGGCAAATTTGGATTCATTCAAACCTTTGATTAGAACTTTAAAATGACCATAATTCCAGTTAATAAAACTTTGTATGTGGGAAACACTTGTATTTGAGGCAACAGATTTAGTTAGGGCCTTCATTATACTTTTCTAATTTTAGAGAAAAAGTATAAAATTTTAATGATTATAAATTTGGTTTTAAAATGAAAGTAAGTTCATATGCAACTAGGTCCACATAACTGTAATGACCACTTTTACTGGTTTATCTGTATGTTTTTGATCCTTCAAAGTGCAAGTTTTTAAAAATGCAATCATTGCTATGAAGCTGATGACACAGAAGCCAAAACTATTTTTAACTGTGGCCTATTTTCCTGAACTGTATACATTTCCAATTATATTGTTGTCACCATTTAAGAACACAGATAATTAGATGAGCCTAAGAATTTCAATCCATGCTAAGTATCAGGGCTCCGTCAGCTGAAAGAATTGCATGTTGATCCATACAACTGCATCATATAACAAAATAAGGTTTGTGTAAAGTGCAGCCAGGGTCTCAAAATGCACATCTGATAAACGTGGTATCATTAAATACATACATTATTAGGAGAAGTAATTTCACTGCTATAGTCGTTGTAATTGTATTAAAACATCTTTGGGATGTTAACAGGAAGCTGTTGCTTTAGTGAGGAATGGCACGGAGAGTTTGGGCTATCTGAAGCTGAGTCTTCATTCTGAGAATTTGGTCAGTAGTAGACAGGAAAAAAGATTTCCCAAACAGGGAAATGTCAATATACCTTCTGAGTAGAATACAGAATGCCAAAAATAACCTCAGAAGTTGGGTCACCAGCAAAGGGAAAAGGGCTGAGAAGAAATTAGGCAACAGCAGGCTGATATACTCTTGTGTCTCTGTCTCCCCCGTAGTTTTTTTTCTGAACCCTACGCAGAGACAGTTGGTTGACAACATTAGAAATCCTTTCATAAATACTTATCTTTTATTTTTCTTCATTTTATTGATTATTTTATTTATTTGAATTTCAAATTTTATCCCCTTTCCCAGTTTTCCCCTCCACCAAAATACTTACCTTTTCAGTACCAACTGAGGCTATGTTATGTGATTAGATAACTTAATGTATTATTTAATAAAATGAGGAAAGTGTTTGCAGTAGAGGATTAGTGAGAAGTTTTTCCAAGATTGTGGGGAGCCCAGTGATATGTTTTGGGAAGGGGCAAGCATTGGGAATAGGAACGTGGTACCTTATTTGAGGAACTGCTGGGTGGTGTTGGTGGAGTCTTTAGAGGAGTCTGGACACAATCTTCATCTTTTTTTATATTGGTTCCTGAAGGTTCTGGAAGCTGAGCCTGCTCCTGGGTAAGCTTCTTTTTCTTTCCACCTTCAGTTTTTGTGATTTGCTTTCTCTTTTTCTGAAAGAGCAACATTGTCTTTCTCTCTAGATTTCCTCATGTGTTGGAAACTGAACCCTGAGCCTTGTATACAGTAAGTTGTGCTTTTCTATAGTTTTAGTTTCAGCCCTTAGACATGTTTATAAAATTAAATGAAGCACAATATTTTCAAGACCATAAGAATTTTTGCTTTTATGACTGAAGTCTAATTATACTTGTTTCATTGTGCACACACCTCAATCTTAACAGATGAATTGTATTGTGTAGTGATTTGAATAAGACTGGCTCCCACAAACTCATAGATTAGAATGGTTCTTATCATTCATGAAACATGAAAATAAGTTAAAAGACAAATAGGTCCACATAACTGTAATGGCCACTTTTACTGGTTTCTTTGTGTGTCTTTGGTCATTGAAGGTACATGTTTTCTAAAATGCAACCATTTCTATGAAGCTGATGCCACTCAAGCCAAAACTGTCATTAACTATAGATAATTTTCCTGGATTGTATACATTTCCAATTATATTGCTGTCACCATTTACGAACACAGATAATTAGATATGACTAAGGATTTCAATCCAAGCTAAATAACAGGACTCTATCAATTAAAAGGATTGACTGTTGATCCCATAGAGTGTTCAGTATAATTGTTCCATGTAACAAAATGAGATTTGTATAAACTGCAGCCAGGGTCATAAAATGGACATCTGATGAATGATGATACCATTAAATAGTATATTATTATGAGAAGTTCTTTCACTGTTACAGTCATTGGAATTGTATTAAGAAGTCTTGCTGCTCCTGTGAAGACACCATATCCTGAGCCATCCTAGAAGAACCACTGCACCCAGAGCAGCAGGATTTCAAGATCTCAGAGGCAGCCTGAGTCCCAGCAGTTCTTCTACCCGGGAGCTCAGGATCACAGGATCACAGAGACATCTGGAATCTGAGGAGTTCTGACACAAGCAAGATAACTGGAAAGACTGGCTCCTGTCAGAGACAGTGAGTGCAGGTAGCACTAGAGTTAAACAGATGACAAAAGGGAAGCGCAAGAACGTAAGTAACAGAAACCAAAGTTACTTGGCATCATCAGAACCCAGTTCTCCCATCATAACAAGCCCTGGACACCCCATCACACCGGAAAAGCAGGATTCAGAATTAAAATCACTTCTCATGATGATGATAGAGGACTTTAAGAGGGATGTAAATAACTCCCTTAAAGAAGTACAGGAGAACACAGGTAAACAGGTAGAAGCCCCTAAAGAGGAAACACACAAAACCCTTAAAGAACTACAAGAAAACACAACCAAACAGATGAAGGAATTAAACAAAACCATCCAAGATCTAAAAACAGAAGTAGAAACAATAAAAAAAATCTCAAAGGGAGACTACCCTGGATATAGAAAACCTAGGAAAGAAATCTTGAGTTAATACAAGAGATAGAAGAGAGAATTTCATGTACAGAGGATAACATGGAAAGCACTGACACAACTGTCAAAGAAAATTCAAAAAGCTCCTAACTTAAAACATCCAGGAAACCCAGGACACAAAGAGAAGACCAAATTTAGGATAACAGGTATAGATGAGAGTGAAGATTCCCAACTTAGAGGGCCAGTAAATATCTTCAACAAAATTATAGAGGAAAACTTCCCTAACCTAAAGTAAGAGATGTCCATGAACATACAAGAAACTTACAGAACTCCAAATAGACTAGACCAGAAAAGAAATACCTCCTGTCACATAATAATCAAAACATCAAATGGACAAAATAAAGAAAAAATACTAAAAGCAGTAAGGGAAAAAGGCCAAGTAACATATGAAGGCAGACCTATCAGAATTACATCAGGCTTCTCACCAGAGACTATAAAAGCCAGAAGATCGTGGACAGATATATTACAGATCTTAAGAGAACACAAATGCCAGCCCAGACTACTATACGCAGCAAAGCTCTCAGTTATTATAGATGGAGAAACCAAAATACTCTATAACAAAACAAAATTTACACAATATCTTCCCACAAATCCAGCACTTCAAAGGATAATTGATGGAAAACTCCAATACAAAGAGTGAAACTACAACCTAGAGAAAGCAAGAAAGTAATCATCCAACAACCATAAAAGAAAATAGCTATACAAACATAATAAAAATAACAAAAATAAGCAATCATTTTTCCTTATTATCTCTTAACATCAGTGGACTCAATTCCCCAATAAAAAGACATGGACTATCAGACTAGATGCATAAACAGGACCTCGAATTTTGCTGCATACAGGAAACACACCTTAGTGACAAAGGAGACACTACCTCAGAGTAAAAGGATGGAAAACAATTTTCCAAGCAAATGGTCCCAAGAAACAAGCTGGAGTAGCCATTCAAATATTATATAAAATTGACTTTTAACAAAAAGTAATCAAAAAAGATAAGGAAGGTCACCTCATACTTATCAAAGGAAAAAATCTACCAAGATGAACTCTCAATTCTGAACATCTTTTCTCCAAACAAAAGGACACCCACATACATAAAGGAAACTTTATTAAAGCTCAAAGCACACATTGCACCTTACACAATAACAGTGGGGAATTTCAACACCCCACTCGCAGCAATGGACAGATCATGGAAACAGAAACTAAACAGACACACAATGAAATTAACAGAAGTTATGAACCAAATGGATTTAACAGATACCTATAGAACATTTCATCATAAAACAAAAGAATATAAATTTTCTCAGCACCTCATGGTACCTTCTCCAAAATAGACCATATAATTGGTCACAAAACAGGCCTCAATAGATAGAAAAAGACTGAAATAATCCTTTCTATACTATCAGACCACCAGGAACTTAGGCCGGTCTTCAATAATGACAATAACAATGAAAAGCTCACTACACGTGGATACTGAACAATGTTCTACTCAATGATGACTTGGTCAAGGAAGAAATAAAGAAATAAATTAAAGACTTTTAGAATTTAATGAAAATGAGGACACATCATACCAAAACTTGTGAGACTCCATGAAAGCAGTGCTAAGAGGAAAACTCATAGCTCTAAGTGTCTACAAAAAGAAACTGGAGAGAGCATACACTAACAACTTGACAGCACACCTGAAAGCTCTAGAACAAAAATAAGCAAATGCACCCAAGAGGAATAGAAGGCAGGAAATAATCAAACTTGGGGGTGAAATAAAACAAGTAGAAACAAAAATAACTATACAAAATATTAACAAAACCAGGAGCTGGTTCTTTGAGAAAATCAACAAGATAGATAAACCATTAGCCAGACTAACAAGAGGGCACAAAGACAGTATCCAAATTAGTAAAATCAGAACTGAAAAGGGAGACATAACAACAGAAAATGAGGAAATTCAAAAAATCATCAGATCCTATTAGAAAAGCCTATACTCAACAAAACTGGAAACTCTGGATAAAATGGACAACTTTCTAGACAGATACTAGGTACCAAAGCTAAATCAGGAGCAGATAAACCATCTAAATTGTCCCTTAACTGTTAAAGAAATAGCAGCAGTCATTAACAGTCTTCTCACCAAAAAAGGCCCACGACTAGATAGTTTTAGTGCAGAATTCTACCAGACCTTACAAGAAGATCTAATATCAATTCTCTTCAAAATATTCCACAAAATAGAAACAGAAGGAATACTACCAAATTCGTTCTCTGAAGTCACAATTACACTCATACCTAAAATACAGAAAGACAGAACAAAGAAAGAAAACTTCAAATCAATCTCCCTTATGAATATTGATGCAAAAATACTCAAAATTCTGGCAAACCAAATCCAAGAACACATGAAAACAATCATCCATCATGAACAAATAGGCTTTATCCCAGGAATGTAAGGATGGTTCAGTATTCAGAAATCCATCAATGTAATCCACTATATAAAAAAAAAAAATCAAAGAAAAAACCACATGATCATTTCGCTAGATGCTGAGAAAGCATTTGGCAAAACTCAACATCCCTTCATGGTAAAAGTATTGGAAAGATCAATAATTCAAAGCCTATACCTAAATATAGTAAAAGCAATATACAGCAAGTCAGTAGAAAGCAACATCAAGCTAAATGGATAGAAGCTGGAAGCAATCCCACTAAAATCAGGCACTAGACAAGGCTGCCCACTCTCTCCCTACCTATTCAATATAGTACTGGAAGTCCTAGCCAGAACAATTAGACACCAAAAGGAAGTCAAAGCTATACAAATAGGAAAAGAAGTCAACAAAATTTCACTATTTGCAGATGATAAGATAGTATACTTAAGTGACCCTAAAACTTCCACCAGAGAACTCGTAAACCTGATAAACAACTTCAGGAAAGTAGCTAGATGTAAAATTAACTCAAACAAATCAGTAGCCTTCCTCTACTCTAAGAATAAACATGCTGAAAAAGAAATTAGGGAAATGACACCCATCACAACAGTCACAAATAATATAAAATACCTTGGCGTGAATCTAACCAAGCAAGTAAAAGATCTCTATGACAAGAGCTTCAAGTCTCTGAAGAAAGAAACCAAAGAAGATCTCAGAAGATGGAAAGATCTCCCATGCTTATGGATTGGCAAGATTAATATAGTAAAAATGGCTTTCTTGACAAAAGCAATCTACAGAGTCAATGTAATCCCCATCAAGATTCCAACTCCATTCTTCATAGAGATAGTAAGAGCAATTTGCAAATTCATTTGTATTAACAAAAACACAGGATAGCAAAAACTATTCTCACCAATAAAACAACATCTGGGGGAGTCATCATCCCTGACCTTAAGCTGTACTACACAGCAATAGTGATAAAAAAAAACCTGTATGTTATTGGTACAGAGATAGGCAGGAAGATCAATGGATAGAATTGAAGACCCAGAAATGAAACCACATACCTATGGTCACTTGATCTTTGACAAAGGAGCTAAAACTGTCCAGTGGAAAAAGAACATTGTTTTCAAGAATTGGTGCTGGTTCAACTGGAAGTCAGCATGTAGAAGAATGCATATTGAGCCAATCTTATCTCCTTGTTTAAAGCTCAATTCGAAGTGGATAAAGGACCTTCACATAAAACCAGATACACAGAAACTAATAGAAGAGAAGGTGGGGAAGCCCTTCAAATACCAAGGCACAGGGGAAAAGTTCCTGAGCAGAACACCAATGGTTTATGCTCTAAGATCAAGAACTGACAAATGGGAACTCATAAAATTGCAAAGCTTCTGTAAGCCAAAGGACACTTGTCAATAGGACAAAATGGCAACCAACATACTGGGAAAAGATCTTTACCAATCCTACATCTGATAGAGAGCTCATATCCAATATATACAAAGAATACAAGAAATTAGAGTTCATAAAACCAAATAACCCTATTAAAAATGGGGTACAGAGCTAAACAAAGAATTCTCAACTGAGGAAACCCAAATGGCCGGAAAGCACCTAAGGAAATATTCAATATCCTTAGTCATTAGGGAAATGCAAATCAAAACAGCCCTGAAATTCCACCTCATATCAGTCAGAATGGCTATGATAAAAAACTCAGGTGATAGCAGATGCTGGCGAGGATGTGGAGAAAGAGGAACACTCCTCTATTGTTGGTGGGATTGCAAGCTGGTACAACCACTCTGGAAATCCATCTGGCAGTTCCTCAGAAAATTGGACATAGCATTACCTGAGGACACAGGTATACCATTCCTAGGCATATACCCAGATGATGCTCCAACATATTACAAAGACACATGCTCCACTATGTTCATAGCAGCCTTATTTATAATAGCCAGAAGCTGGAAAGAACCCAGATGTCCTTCAACAGAGGAATGGATACAGAAATATGGTACATTTGCACAATGGAGTATTACTCAGCTATTAAAAACAATGAATTTGAGAAATTCTTAGGTAAATGAATGGAACTAGAAAAATATCATCCTGAGTGAGGTAATCCTATCACAAAAGAACACACATGGTATGCACTCACTGATAATTGGATATTAGCCCAAAAGCTCGCAATACCCAAGATACAACTCACAGACCACATGAAGCTCATGCACAAGGAAGATCAAAGTGTGGGTGCTTTGGCCCTTCTTAGAAGGGGTAACAAAATACTCCTGGGAGCAAATATGGAGACAAAGAGTGGGGCCAAAACTGAAGGAGGGGCTGTCCAGAGACTGCTCCACCTGGGTATCCATTCCTTTTGCAGTCACCAAAGGTAGACACTGATGTGGATGTCAGGAAGTGCATGATAACAAAAGCCTGATTGTCTCCTAGAGGTCTGCCAGAGCCTGACATATTCAGAGGCAGATGCTAACAGCTAACCATTGAGCTGATCATGAGGTTCCTAATGGAGGAGTGAGAGAGAAGACTGAGGGAGCTGAAAGGGTTTGCAGGCCCATGAGGAGAGCAACAATACCAACTAACCAGAGTTTCTAGGATCTAAACCACCAGCCTGGGAGCACATAGGGAGGGACCCATTTCTCCAGCTGTGTATGTAGAGGAGGATGACAGTGTCAGGCAAAGGTGGATGAGGAAGTCTTTGGTCCAGTTAAGGCTGGATACCCCAGTGTGGGGGAAATCGTGGGTAGGGAGGTTGGAGTGGGAGTGTGGGTGGGGGCCTATCAAAATAGAAGCAGGAGGAGGGGGATGGGATAGGGGTTTCCTGGGTGGTGGGAAAGGGGATTACATTTGTAATGAAAATAAAATATTCAATAAAAATGTTTTAAAAAAAATGTAAGGTTAGCGGCTAATACAAATTATCCTTCACATAAGACAAATCTCAATCTTAACATTGTTTGTAACAATTTTTATGTATTTGTAAAACTAAAGATAAGCCAAACAGAAATTCTTTAGTTGACCAAAAGGCCAATGTATTAAAGCAATGTGCTCCACACACTGACATTTAAACACTCTTACTGAAAATTGGAGTTATTTTCTAACATGAAGAAAAATGTTGTGAATAAACACAGCTCATGCTTTGAGAGCTCTTTATGATGTACTTAAGTAAAATTATAATTAATTCTAATTTAATCTTTACACTATGGTCAAAGCAGATAAAAGTAGAAAATTAAATGTTGTTGAAAATAGAGAATAATTATCACATGTCATAAAGGTGTCAAAGGTCTTTAGTTACCACTGGATTCACTGGGGCTTATTTTGAGGATACAATCACAGTACATGTCCACAAGATATAACAATTTTCTATTATCCAATGTGAAAAAAAGTACTAACTGGCTCACAGCCTCTTCTTTTAGATAGGCTCAAGTAGAGTTACTTTGGTTAGAGCCATGTCCTTATACATGGATAGAGTTTTCCTCAAAAGCAGTGACTTGTAAAACCAGAGAGATATTGATAGGCTCTGATCTCTTTTCTGTATAGTGGTCTGAGCTCATAGGATTTCAATAGAGTATTTTAATGGAGGGAAGAGTGCCTAAGACAATATGTAAAGTAATGAAAATCTATGAGCTTCATAGATATGGAGATAGAGTTGCTGTCTCCACAAACCCAGGGATAAGTGAATAGTTTGGTCTAACATGACACACACAGTCATCACCTATGAATGATCTGCAAGAAACTGTTTCCTTGGAGTCATCCTTCTCTTCCATGTAGGTCCCTGAGTCTTGAGACAGATTTGATAAAGACATCCTATTCAAGACTAAATACTCTAAAATCTCTCACAGTCTGAACATAACCTAGTTGTGGGTCTCTGTGTCAATTCCCACCTACGGCAAGAAGCATCTCTGATGAGAGCTGAATGAGGCACTGCTCTACATGTATGGCAATATATCATTAGGATTTATGTTATTGTTATGTTCCTTTAGTAGAATAATAGTTGTAGGTTTTCTCCTAGGCACATGACCTGTCTAGTCTCAGATTCCTGACCACTTTAGCAGTGTCTGATATGAGTTCAATCTTTTGGAGTGGGCCTTAAATCCAATTTAAAAAAGGTTAGTTACTCCTATTTCAGCTGTATTATTTCTTTGTTTTATGACCTCTAAGCCTTACAAAGATATCTATCAGAGCTTTATCTGGGCAAGTCAGCCCTCATCTACCCTTCTTAGCTGTGCTCTTCATTTTATATTTCTGGCACTCAAAGAAATCTCAGGTTTGTAAGTATCTATAGGAAAAATAGGCAAACTGTAATCTTAGAAATACACAGCAAAATGGGAAAACAAACATTAGTTCTGTATCATAACTGGTAATAAAATAAGATTGCACTATCCATTTTTAACTCAGTGTGAATAGGACTTCTGGAGGGCTATATTAAGGCAAGAGCAAGATACCAACACTCAAATTCAGAGGATAGATGGTTTTAGATGCTTACAATCCTTTAAGATGGAATGATTATACAATGTGTCTACTGTTCTGAAGAAGTGAGTATCCTAATATGCATCAAAAATTTAACAGGTTAATCATATAAAAGAAAGATATGTGACAGTACAAGAGAGGCAAAATGGAGTCCATTGTTACTGACACCTGCATGCACTAGGCTCTTTGCTTTCCTCTTCTTATCTGGGATCAAAACTAGCAGACCAACTCCTCACTGACAGAAGTAACGTGTTCATTAAGTGTTCTCATCTAAGCAAAAGGTTATGAGTCAGCAAATTCTATATTTGTATTACATATTTTTGTGTCTGTTTCTGTCTTTGCATGATAGTCTATATCATATCCAGCTTCTGTGTATATCTGATTAATTAAATCTCGGGGATAAATAGGGGACATGGTCAGAATTTTAAGATCTGTTCCTGATATTTGTATTGAAGAAATGAAAGGGGAGCAGAAAACTTGTATCTTAGCCAAAGAAATGTTAGATGAAGCTGAAGATGACACCTGGGTTATTGATGACTGCCACCTGGCTGTGTCTTCTTCCGAACAGGGAGGCTGATCTGGTCCCTCAGATGCCTTGGTCTTTTTCACTCCAGTCTTTTCTTTACTCATTCTTTTTCTTTTCTGAAAGTATAACCATTGCCCTGTTAGTGAGTCTATTCAATCCAGAAGAGTATGTCTTCATTATTAGGTAGTAGATTTATTATGTCTGAGTAAGTTGGGAACTTGCAGAAGTAGCACCCATCCTCTAGTCAAGTCTAAAATATGATCATTAATAGTCATAAAAATGTGTGCATATGTGGTTTTATCAAATAATGGGAGAAGAAAAGTTACATGGATAATTTTTTCTATTATTACTTTATGGCAGGACACAATTGAATTTTAATTCGAAAACTAGGTTTGTGTAAATATGCAACAACCATGGCTCTACCTGGTTTTCAAGTTCATGACATCTCTAGTAGGAGTGAACACATATTAATGCCACATGATTAGTTGTCCTGAGTTTCAATCAAAGCTTGAAGAGAAAATGATAAAGCAGTGAGTACATTGTAGACTAGGGAGAGGGAAGAGGTATTACCTCTGCTACTCTGGACTGCCAGCTGTTCCTCGGGCTCACCTGAGCTGTAGAAGTCTCTGCCTGAGCTGGAGAAGTCTCTGTCAGAGCTGTGGAAGTCTCTGCCCGAGTTGTAGAAGTCTTCTCATGAGCTGTAGAAGTCTCTGTCTGAGCTGTAGAAGTCTCCCCTCTTTCAGATGCTAATGTGTGGCTTG